GCCAAAGGATCAATGAGATTCTTGGACTTTCTATGGTTTATGTATTTCCTTTTTATCCATCACATTTTCATGTACTTGTTCCTGTGAATATTCCTTTATAGAACTCCCATATCTCTATTTTCTAAACACAATTGAGGAGCCTTTTTAATACTCACACGTGTTAGTAGTAGGTTTTGCCAATCCATCCAGATTTCTGTAAGAAACTTGGTTTTTCCTTGGAAATGCCAAACAGGAAAAAAAAAAAAAAAGATCGATTTCATGGAGGGGATAAATAGGAAAATGTATAGAGAATATTTGTTTTATCTCAGATTTAGAAGATTGTGAAGTTGAACAAAGTCATTCTGTGGCATCTAGAAATGCTGGTCCAAGATGACGCAGAGGGCTGGATTCTCTATCTCCAGTCGATCTAGCGCTGAAGAGAAGAAACAATGACCGGGCCTTATTTTCCATACCCCAAGAAAGTACAGACTTTCATAGGCTGATCTAGGGTTCTCTGTTTATGCTCACGTCCTTCATAGAGGCTCACAAAGCAGGAAAAAGTAAATTATTTTGCTCAGGAAGTATTCTCAATGAGTCGATCAAGACCAAGAACTCTTGTTCCAGCAAACTGTTAATAAGTGTTGTGGAAAAAAAAATTTATTAAATAGGTTTGCAAAACACTGACTGCATATTGAAATAGAATTCTTTTTTGCCATAGGAATTTTCACTGGTTCACTATGCTAATAGGAATTGTGAGCCATAACGTGAAGTAGCTAATATGCACTACAACTCAAACTCATGTTTAAAGCCTTCTTGAAGGGCTAACCATTTTGGGAAACCATTTTGGGAAATATGGGGTTGGATCACAGCTTGATGAAGATATTATAATGGCGTAGTTTTCAAAATCCCGGTCCATTTGGCAGCTGTGTCACAATTTCCTACTGATGATATTTTAAGACAGATTTCTGGCATCAACCCACATCTACTGAATCAGTAATCTAACGGTGGGACAGGAGATATTTCCAGTTTCAATAAGTGTCTTAGATAATTCTCATGCTGCATTGGGTTGGGAACCTCTAGAGATACCTTCCTAGGTTACTGTCACTCTTGATACTATAAAGCTCTATTATCAGAATTCGCTTTGAGCAATCTTCACTTCTGAGTTCCTGAGACTACAGATCAGTGGACTGACCATGGGATTGAGTAACTGTGAGACAGGAGGAGATATTTCTTTTGCTTCATGGGGTTCCCATATCTTGGCCCAACATACAAGATAATGGCTGTACCATAAAAGAGTCCAACCACAGAGGTGGGATGAGCAGGTGGGGAAGGCTTTTCTTTGACCTTCCCCTGACTGGACCCTAAGGATGGCCCAGAAGAAGCACATATATGAGATTACGATTGATGAGAAAGGTCCCGATAGCATGGAAATGGCTCCCGCCAGCATTATAATCTCATCGACATGGGTATCTGCACAGGCGAGATCTTTAAAAGCCATGATTTCACAAAAGAAGGTTTTTAATAAAGTTTTATAGCTTTGTGGTTGCTCTAGATATTATATATACATTATGACATTCGATTGATGTCACTTTTGAAACCAGTTTGAGTGAAGTATGGAAACCTTACTTCCTTTTGTGTCACTTTACTCTCTCCAATTATAATTGTATTCAATATTTCCTCTACATAAATTTAGCATAGCACCAGACAATGCTTAAATTTTTGTCGGAACCATCAAACAGATTTAGAAAACTCAACTTTCCTATGGAAAGCCTACGGAATTTACTCATAATTTTGCTTACCATGTTCTTTCTTTCTTCCTGATATTCCAAGTTTCCTTCTTTTCTGTTTCTTTTCTGTTTAGAGAATTCATTTTTAAAAGGCAGTTTCGTCGTGTATAAAATTCTGTGTTGACAGTTTTTACTTTCACTGCTTTAAGATGGTATTTCATTGTATTTAGGCTTCCATGATGTTCGGTAAGAGTCAGCTATAATCCTATTGCTTTTCCTTCTAAAGTAATTCATTCTTTTTCCTGGCCAATTGTAAGGCTTTCTATTTGTCTTTCATTTTTAATAGTTTGACTAACATATTTCCAGTGATGTTTTCTTTATATTTATTCTGCCAAATTTTTCTGAGCTTTGTGAATCTGTATGTTGATATGGCTCATCAGATTTTTAAAATTCTTGCCATGGTTTCTTCAAATAATTCATCTATCTTATTTTTTCTCCTTTTTCCATCTGGGACTGTAAGAAAATTCAGGTTTGTCAGACCTTTTGAGAACTCCCTGCAACTCTATTTTGCTCTCTTGAGTGATTTCCATTCTTTTTTCTCCCTCTACGTTTGTTTTGGTAATATATATTGAGCTGTATTTGACTTCATGAACCCTGGCTTCAGATGTATCCTGTCCTCTGTAAAACATATCTAATGAGTTATTTTAGTCAGTTTTTTTAAGGAGATTTAGAATGCTCATTTGATTTCTGTTAATGATTCTTATTTTCTGATGAAATACTCCACACTTTCATTCTTTATTTGCCTTTTATTTTTTCTTTATATCTATTATAGATATTTTGATGTCTTTGTCTTTTTAACTCCAATAGCTGAATGATCTGTCAATTTGTTTCTAATAACTCATTTCCTCTTATTACTTTTTTCTGGTTTTCGTGTGTTTAGGAATTTAATTTCTTATTGAAATTATGGAAAATTTACTATAGCAATTCTCCAGAGTTTTGAAAATATTTTTTGGAGAGCAGTAAAATTATTTGAAGTTCACCTTTTTCCTCTCGAGGCCAGGTTTCAAGCTGTGTCATGGTAAGTACATTTCATTTTCTCTCTTACTGCTAGGACATAGCTCCTACTCCTAGGTGACGGTACTTCTCCAAGACAAAGAATTTCTAGAGTCTCAACTGAGTTTCTAAGTTTTTTACCACTGTCTCCTCATTCTGGTTGGATCTGAACTCCAACACCTCCTCAGGAATTTGTTAGTTCCAGATCATCTCTTGTGCTTTCAGTCTCCCAGCAGCTTCTTTCTCTGAGGTCTGTTCTTTCTTGGCCCATTTTCACATTGATGAGGAAGTAACTAAGGATATAAATGGCACTTTCAGGTATATTGCTACGATTCTCTCTTTATGTTCTTTCCCCTGTGGCACACAGACTGATCCGCTTTGTAACTGATCGAGGAGCCTTGAACTCTGATCCACCAAGACCAGATCCAGGCTTGGGTTCCTATTACTGTACAAAGGCCAGGAAAATGCCTTTCTGAGAAATCCCAGGTAAAGGAGATATTCACTGTGTGGGTATCCTCTACATTTCAATCACAGTCAAAAGTTGTTTTTCATGTGTTTTTGAGATTGTATAATTATTTATGGTGGGATGGTAAATCTGATACCAGCTACTTTGGTATAGTTAAGACATATATTAGTTTTAAGGCAAAGCTACAAAATCATCTTTCTCCATACTTAAAATTTAAATTAAAAAATACGGTTAAAAGATTACTGAAAAAATGGGTTTTAATAGTTTTATTTCATGAGAAAAGAAGCTCATTTAGAAATGTAAAGTATGTCTTAGGAGTAGTGGTCATGTTGAGTGACGATGTGTGGAAATCTCACTCCATGCATGGTCATTATTTGGTTTTCCTTTATATATCGAGAAGCCAAGTCTCTAGTGTGTTACTATATTCCATTATACAGTTGACCCTTAAACAACACAGGTTTGAACTACATGGCTCCACTTATATATGAATTTGTTTCTATAAATACCTGCACTGTTTTCAATCTGTGACTGGGAGTCTGCAGATGTGGAAGGCTAATGTATGCATTGCCCTAGGCCATTTTATATAGAGGACTTGCGCATTGTGGATTTTGGTACGTACAAGGATACCAAAGAACAACTATGATACCAAGGAACAACTAAGTTTGGGGGGAGTTAAAAGTTATATACGGATTTTTAACTGCGCGGGGATTGGTATCCCTAATCTCCACATTGATCAAAGGTTGACTGTATATGTTTTATTATTTTGTTATTTTCTTTTTTTAATGGCTAAGAGGTATGACAAGATGAAATATTACTGTCTGAAAACCCTCTGCTGCTCTGGAAAATAAAGAGGCAGGAGCTTCAAAGAAAACATTGTCAAGAGGTATAAAAAGAATATGAAAGTGAGGCAATTAGAAAATAAGTCTGCCTTTAATTCTGCATGTTATAAAACACAAATGGAAGAAGAGAGAAGAGAATGTTAGTGGGAGGTGAAAATAAGACAGAAACAAAGGAGAAATGGAAACATTTCTATAAGGGATTATGAGACAGTAGTATCTTATTTTTGTTCGATGCTAAATATTTTTTAACTGGGTGTTCATTTCTCTGAAATTTATGACTTGTTACTAGGTGATGTGAATGCTTATGATTGAACTGATTATTAATTAGGGTGGTGTGTTAATATTTTTCCCATAATAAAACAATGAAAGAGATGATTTCTTAATTAAGATATTAATCTATTTCTTGAAGAAATGGCCTCTATAAGTTTTTATAGCATTAAACATAGAATCCATAATCCAGATGCCTCATCTCTTAAAAAACACACTCAACACCAGAGACTCCTTGCACATCAAAACTTTCCTTACTCTCAGGTACAGTCTTATTCACATACTCTTATCAAACTTTACCGTTAACCAGGTAATTTTTCTGGCTTTTAAGTCATCTTCAAAGCACATCTCAAACAAAAAAAGGCTCTGCTTAGCCAAAAGTTCTGTCTCCCCTCACACAGACCTCGTCTGCAGAGCTCCACACTGCACCCTTCACCTAGGTGTTCCTCAGACTGTATATGAGGGGGTTCAGCATCGAATTAAAGAGACTGTAAAACAGAGACAGCATTTTCTCTTGTTCCTTTCATTCACTGGAGTCTGGAACCATATAAACCACCATGGCAGTACCAAAGAAAAGCCTAACCACACAGAGGTGTGAGAGCAGGTGGAAAAGGCTTTTCTTTGACCTCTCCTAACTGGATCTTCACAATGGTTCAAAGGATGCTCATATAGGAGACCAGCACCAAGCAAAGGGGCACGACTAAGAAAAACACACAAGCAGCAAAAATGACAGCTTCATTGATCCAAGTGTCATCATGGGCCAGCTTGAGGACAGACAGAATTTCACAGAAGAGTTGGTCTACTTCCCTGGACCCACAGAAGGGCAGCCTTAGAAGGAGAATCACATGTACCAGAGCCAGCATAAATCCACATGACTAGGAAGTGGCAGCCAAGACCGTGCACACTCCTCAACTCATGATGACAACGTAATGCAGGTGGTGGCAGATTGCTACAAACCTATCATAGGACATTGCCACCAAAATCAGACACTCTGTAGCAGCAAGACCCAAATACAAAAAAGTCTGCATAATGCATGGGACAAAGGAGATGGTTCTATTCTGATTCACTAAGTATGCCAGCATCTTGGGGACATTGTTAGAAGCATAGGACACGTCAATGATGGCCAGGTGTGAGAGGAAGAAGTACATGGGCGTGTGCAGTCTGCGGTCCAGACAGATGAGCCCCAAGATCGTGCCGTTTGCCAACAGACTGAAGGCATAGAACAGGGAGAAGATCCAGAAGAGGAGCATTTCCGTCTCTGCACTGAGCTGGAATCCCACCAGGACGAACTCTGTGACCCATGACTGGTTCCCCCCCATTCCTCCGTGACAGTTTTTCTAGGGCTGAGGTGTGATAAAAGGTCAGAGCTAGAGAATCAACAAAAGTTGGAGTTATTTAATTTAAAAAAATGTAGAGGAGACAAATGCTAGTCTCTATCATGATTCACTTATCTTCAGTCTTAACCCATCAAATATTTCGACACCACATTTATAAAGGAAGGACAATCTATTTAGCATAGCATAAAAATTGTGTTGTGGGGTAATGGAGCTATACAAGTAAATTATTTCATTCTGGAGCCTCTACTTCAGGCTCTTCTGACTCCTTTTAGAGAATCTAATAAAGCTCGTTAATTTAACAGTATTTACATTAACTGTTAGTTTACTTGTAGGTTAAACATCTTACAATTCTAGAATTTATTTTAGTTATTTACTTAATACCTTTACTTATTTTTCTTTCCAAATGAAAAATTTGCTGACACGTGACAATTTCTGGTCACAGGTCAAAGTTGCAAAAGGCTGATTCATTGTGGAAATAAGAAGATTCATGTCTTATCTGAGGATATGATATTCAATTTTGTACTTTTTAGAAATAAGAAATGAAGTCATGTAAATGACTATGAAATACACGTTTTAAGGTAAACATTTTAATTATTTTGGTATTTGAATGTCTACTCTTTGTGGTGCATATATATTCACCTGCTCTTTACTAGAAATATTTAAAAATGCTAAGAAAACATTTATCCATAAAGGTATACGCTCCCCGATGTTCAGAGCAGCATTATTCACAGTGGTCAAGATATGGAAACAACCAAAGTGTCCTTCCATAGATGACTGGATAAAGAAGGTGTGGTACATACATACAATGGAATATCGCTCAGCCATAAGGAGAGATGAAACACTGCCATTGCAACAACATGAGTGGATCTTGAGATTATCATGCTAAGTGAAACAAGTCAGACCGAAAGAGTTGAGAACCATATGATTTCACTCATATGTGGTATAAAAAAGTAAAAGCAACAAATGAACAAGAGAAACAAACAGAGGTTCATGGACGTGGACAACAGTTTAGCAGTTTGCAGAGGGAAGTGGGGGAGGGGAGGTTGATAAGGGTAGAGGGGGGTCAAATATACGGTGACGGAAGGAAATTTAACTTTGGGTGGTGAACACACATTACAATATACATAAGATGTATTACTGAGTAGTACACTTGAAACCTATACAATTTTATTCACCAATGTCACCCCAATAAATTTAAAAATGTAACAAATATCTATGTTTTGCTTTACTTTTGGCCATAACACTTACAAACCATTTCTTGTGTCAAAAATATTAATAATACTTAACAGTTGAGGGTTTTTTGTTTCATAAATATACTGTCATTTAATGAATATCAATTTTCTGACAATTCGGTTATAGACTATGTCCATTTTATTTACTACAATGTGTTACGGAGGCAGTAAATATACATGCATATTTGTATGAATTCAATATGTGTATGTCAGACTTTGTGAACCTGAGTTCATCCTTCCCTTGTGGTTGTCACACCTGACGGGCACATCTATCATGCTGCACCTGAGGACTCTTCTTTAAACCTCTGACTCAAAAGAGGAATAATCTGCTACCTTTGGGTCACGCTTACAATCACTTGAATATAGAGGCTCCCCAAAAGGATCCAACCTGTGTGGTGGATGTGGAGAGCCCCGACTTCAGGGGAGGGCTGTCTGGCCTCCAGCTGTCAGATGCCTCAGCTGCAAAGATGCCTCATCCTAGGGCACATACTTCCGGTGGTTCCCACGCCAATGACTGATTGTGGTGGGGATACAAAGGCTCAGCCATTGTGGTCCAACCAAAGGGGAAAACTGGGGCCATATGTGCTTCGGAGCTGCCTGTAGGGTTTAATGAGCCTTTGTTGCACTGAGATAGAAAATAATTGAGGTTTCCTGCCTCTCACTCCCTTCCACAAAGGTTGATCCCTAATAAATATCCTGCGTGCCAAATGCCATCTGCATGCCAAGTGTCCACTTCTGGAGGGTCCAACCAGGGACAGTCGACTAACAACATGTGATCTCACCCTCGCGTCATTACAAGCCTAAGGCCTAGTCTCATTCTATTCTGGGCCTTGATCTAACTGCCCTCGAAACCCAAAGGTTTGACACGCTTCGTGCACACCTTGTTTTAGTATCTTACTCTCTAGGTTTGTGAAGTTTTCCAAGTGGTGATTTCATCACACTCACCACCCTTTAAGCTCCCATATGATACCGTGGCTGCAACACAATAGACACACCCCAAGTCCTCCATGTGCTATACAGCAACACATATTTACGCTCACATAAAGTCAGATGTGGGCGAGGCAGACCTCTCTCCTCCGTGCTGTGCCTTATGGAACATACTTCCTCCTCGGGTCACAGACGGGAAACAGATGGAAGGTGCATACCCGCTCAGAGCTACTTTCACTTGGAAATGACACACAGCACTTCCATTCACTTTTTAGGCCAGAGGCAATCATGTGTATTCATTCTAATGTCAAGGAAGGCTGGTAAATATCGGGAATCACATAGATATTTGATGATCTCTGTCTGTAACTCCCAAACATTTGATGGAACTGGTCTGCACTGGCTTACTAGTGCTGATTGTACTCATGTCTTTCCCACTCTGCGTTTAGTGAAGACACATCAGTTGCGTGAAATTGACCCTGGCGGAAATAGTTGCACCATGGACATTGGCAAACACTACACCTAAGGCTTTGCTACCCATTTTGAAAGCTTGTTGGTAAACATTTACTATGCCTCATATACAATATTTCAAAACCTCTATCCAATGTCATTATTTTTCCTCTCAATTTTAGGGCTTACTCTGAGGATTACCGTTCCTTCTTACATAACTGACATCAGAAGGAAGACTCTTCAGCCTGAACCTCATCTGCCACATAGAAGAGATAAATTTATCATGTATTATTATTTAGCAGAGCATCAAGC